CCCAGACCCACCAGGATGTCAAACACATTACTGCCTATGGAGTTGGAGATGGCCATGTCTCCCAGACCTGAGGTGAGGAGAGAAACACTTAAAGTCTGTGTTCAGTCGGGAGACAAAGCGATTACGACTTCTGCTTTGCTTCCCGACTCCATTTGATCTTTCTGCATCTTATGTGAACGTACCTTGCCGCGCCACTATGACGCTAGCCATGCAGTCTGGGACGCTGGTGCCCGCTGCGAGGAAGGTGATGCCCATGATGACGTCGGGGATGCCGAGAGTAAAGCCAATCACGGTCACCTGAGAACAGACAGACATCGTCTGAAGAGACAGACTCTCTGGGAATTCCTCCTCACGCAGAAGCAGGAAACAGCATTTCAATTCTGAGAGTTTCCTTCTGTTTCTGCACTTAATCGAAGGATGTGTGAGTTTTACATAATGACAGCTGTGTGTCAGTGTTAGAAACAAGTTTTTTGTATCAAATCTACGAGGTTCTGTCTGGACTGTGAAAGTAAATATTTAATGTGAACTTTTATGTATATAAATAAAAACACATTTGAGATGTTTATCACAAACAGACTGAATGCAATTAGCGACTTGACCCCATTCAGTTACAAACCGTGGACAGATTGTCTCCATCTCCAAGGCGATGAGACTGAAAATGAACTGCAGATGGCTGAAACAATTTTGGCCGCGTTGGCGTCTCCCAACCAGAGTTTTCTCTAGTGCGACTGCAGCGTTACATAAGTCAAACGGATGAAATCATTTAGACGTTTCTAAAAACAGAGTTTTAATAGTCTTGAAAGAAACTGTCTCCGTGTTTAGAGGGAAAGGATCAGGACGTGATTGAGCGAGCCTGACTGGACTCACCATCCACACCATGATGTACGAGAGGCCGGCGATCCAGATGGTGGCTGTGAAGAAGGAGACCATGAACCACCTCTCCCAGCGGCGTTTGCCACAGTTGGGCACCGTGAAGAACAGAAGCAGGGACAGCGGCCACATGACCAGCCACTTGAGCTTGTTACACACACCCGCTGGAATGAATAAGATGTAGTCAGGGTTTAACGATACACGATGCTAAAATGAACATTTGTGAGAGCCGGATCGCGTCACGTACCTGGAACTTTAAAGGGCACCAGGGGGCCCTCTTTGTCATCCTCTTCCTCTCCTTCCTCGTCATTCTCATTGTTCTCGTTGTCCTCATTTTCATTCTCCGTCTCATTCTCCAGCCGCTGAAGTCTGCACCTCCCGTTCACACCCTGCTCGACTCCGCCCATCCCATTCTCTAGGCCCCGCCTCCCTTGAGCCCTGGCTGCAGACTCAGAGTCACCATTCGTGATGCGATTGACTCGAGTCTCCGTGGTGTTGATCAGTCTTTGTCTCTGGAACATTAAAAAAAAACATTTGGACACTTTGCATTGCTCTCGTGAATTATTTTGTCATTATGCATCTTCTTCTTGTCCTTAGCG